AACCGGACCGGCTGTTTGATGTGTGGTGGATTAAGCGGTCAAACCACCAAGAGACCATTTTCCCTCACCTAGGGTTCACCTGTTGTGAGCTCAGCGTTGAGTCTTGGCTTACTATTTGTGACAAGTTTTTCTCCTGCTCTAATTATGGTTGGCCAGAGGCACGCAGAACCGGACCGGCTGTTTGATGTGTGGTGGAGGTGTGACGACGCCCTGTGTTGTGTTCCACCTGTGTTTTGTGTTTACCTCACCTGTGTATGTTGTGTTCCACTATCGGCCTCACCTGTCTGTTATGTTCCACCTTTGTTGTGTTTACCTCACCTGTGTGTTGTGTTCCACTACCTGCCACACCTGTCTGTTGTGTTCCACTTGTGTTGTGTTAACCTGTGTGTTGTGTTCCACTACCTGCCTCACCTGTGTGTTGTGTTCCATATCACAGCTACGTTACTCGCTTGTGTTTAGGTTATAATACAGTGTAATAATATATTTCTTTGTAAGTGATTATTTGACAAATAACTATATTTTGTGTGTGTGTGTGTGTGTGTGTGTGTGTGTGCGAGTGCGTGTGTGTGTGTGTGTGATCGGATGAAGAGATAGCTGGGGAATGCTCCGCCGTGTTCCATCTTGTACACCGGTAATTATAGTGTAGGAGTCCTGGAGAGAGTGTCCACGTCTGTGCTACCACTGTGATAATACCTCCGCCTCCCGCCCCTCCTCTCTGCCTCCCTCTGACCCTCCTGCCACTACTGCATTGTTCCTCCTCCTCCACCCATATATTTTTATCCCTACCCAACCCACACCGGTCCCATTACCCCCGTCTCTCACTCTTCCTACCCCAGTCCTCCTCACTCCTTCCTACCTCCACTCTCACTCTTCCTACCCGTCTCTCACTCTTCCCACCCCCCGTCTCTCCTCTTCCCCCTCTTCCTCCCTGTCTCTATCTCCTCTCCTACCCCGTCGTCTCTCACTCTCTCCACCTCCACCTGTCTCACTCTCCTAATTCTCTCACTCTCCCACCCGTCTCTCCTTTCCTACCCCTCTCTCTCTTCCTACCTCCGTCTCTCACTCTCCTACCCCGTCTCTCACTCTTCCTACCTCCCGTCTCTCCTCGTCTCTCCGTCTCTCCGTCTACCCGTCTCAATCTTCTACCTCCTCTTCCACTCTCTCCCCCCCGTCTCTCAATCTTCCTACCCCGTCTCTCACTCCTACCCCCGTCTCTCCTCTTTCCCCGTCCCGTCTCTCGTCTTCCTACCCCCCTCTCCCTTCCTGTCTCTCTCAATCTTCTACCCGTCTCTCCTGCTTCTGTTGTTCCTTCAGCCAGCCACATCATGGCAGGTGAGGTCTGAGTGTGTAGAGACGCCATATTGTGGAGTACCTGAAGAGACGTGGTGTGGCAGGCAAGAGGAGGACGTGGGTGATGGTGAGGGAGAGGACGTGGGTGATGGTGAGGACGGAGGAGGGAGGACGTGGGTGATGGTGGGGGACGAGGGAGAGTGGGACGTGGGTGATGGTGAGGAGGGAGGGAGGAGGGAGAGATGGGTGATGAGGGAGGAGGAGGACGTGGGTGAGGGAGGAGGGAGGAGGGACGTGGGTGAGGACGTGGGTGATGGTGAGGACGGGGAGAGTAGGACGTGGGTGATGGTGAGGGGGGAGGAGGACGTGGGTGAGGGACGAGGGAGGAGTGGGACGTGGGTGATGGTGAGGGAGGGAGGAGGACGTGGGTGATGGTGAGGGAATAGGGGAGGAGTGGGACGTGGGTGATGGTGAGGGGGAGGAGGACGTGGGTGATGGTGAGGGACGAGGAAGGAGGAGGACGTGGGTGATGGTGGGGGACGAGGGAGAGAGTGGGACGTGGGGTGATGGTGAGGAGGAGGAGGGTGATGGTGAGGGACGAGGAGGAGGACGTGGGTGATGGTGAGGACGAGGGAGGGGACGTGTGTTGGTGGAGGGACGAGGAGGAGGAGGACGTGGGTGATGGTGGGGAGGGGAGGAGTAGGACGTGGGTGATGGTGAGGGAGGAGGAGGACGTGGGTGAGGACGAGGAGGATGAGGACGTGGGTGATGGTGAGGGGAGAGGGAGGGAGGAGGACGTGGGTGATGGTGAGGGAGGAGGACGTGGGAGGGAGGAGGACGTGGGTGATGGTGAGGGAATAGGGAGGAGGAGGACGTGGGTGATGGTGAGGGAGGGAGGAGGACGTGGGTGACGGACGGGAGGAGGACGTGGGTGATGGTGACGGACGAGGAGGGAGGAGGATGTGGGTGATGGTGGAGGGAGGAAGAGGACGTGGGTGATGGTGAGGGACAAGGGAGGAGGTGGACGTGGGTGATGATGAGGGAAGAGGGAGGGAGGAGGACGCGTGTGTTGGTGAGGGAAGAGGGAGGGAGGAGGACGTGGGTGATGGTGAGAGACGAGTGATGGAGGAGGACGTGGGTGATGGTGAGGGAAGAAGGAGGGAGGAGAGCAGTAGCAGTGTGTCGCCCGTCATAACCCACCTTCAAGGTCACTCTGCCTCCTGACACCACCACCCCCAATTTAGTATTCCCGCCAGCCAGTGAATGTTGGTCACCTCTGTTGAATAGTTAGTTTATACCTTACGTCTGTGGCTTCGGTTGAATTGCTGATTATTTTTCAAGCCCAATCGTCTATTTTCTCAAATGTAAAAGTAACTTTCATGGTTTACGTCTCTTATGTGTATCACTCAATAGTGTACACGCTGTTCATCATTTACTGAAATAATGACAGGTCCCAAGTCTGGAAATAATTAATTATTACGATTGTGTCTCAACACTCGTCTAAGGGGACCACCAGACTAAAGATGTACAGTTGCAGACAATCTTCCCAAACACTTGGCTGTATCTGAGGTTTATTAGGTGAGGGAATTGGAATTGTAACATATTTTCTCAGACTTGATTTTTGAGGAGTGTTTTCTTCAAATATGTAGTTCCAGCAATTTGTGAAGAAAGACAACGTTATTATATATAATAGAACACACACACACGCACGCGCACACACACACACACACACACACACACACACACACACACACACACAGCTTGATGTTGCTGCCCATCTCCAGATTCAGTCATAAGTCGGCTCCCTCAGCGGGGTGTGTTTGCACAGGTGCTAGGGGCGTCCCTACGGGGTTCCTGGGTGGAGGGTGCGTGTGTGTGTGTGGGGTGGGCAGTGGAGCGCAGGATGGGGTTGGGAGGGGAGAAGAAGGGGACAAACCGGTTGAGATAAGCAAGTTGGTGCATATGTTTTGTCCAGATGTGCCACTCAGGTATCCAGACCTTGGTTCCTTGGACAGGTTCACTACCTCATGGCTGTGAATTGAATTGAAACAGTTTATTTAGCCAGAAAAACACAGATACAGAGTGGATAATAATAACAATATTAACGTGACTGAGCCAGTTGAGAACCTGAGCTCTCTTGTAGGCACCTGATATATACTATACATTTAGTATCATCTGGAATAGTACAATAGCATGGTGGTAATAAGAACATCTCATAATGTTACCACGGTTATTACTTAAATATTTATTAATTTTATTTATTTATTTTTTTAGTTTATATATACTGTGTATATATATATATATATATATATATATATATATATATATATATATATATATATATATATATATATATATATATATATATTTCATTAGCCCAATAAACCACGCGGACTTCTACATGCAATCAACACCTCATTGGAGGTTCACGGCGCCATAAGCTCGTTGAACAGGCTTTGTGTGAAATATAACAGTCTAGGACTGCTTTTAGTATCCTGGTGATCCAGAGGTAGCGTTCCCCGGTCACAGTCATGGGCTCGTGGGCCGTGGGTTCGAATCCTGGCGGGTTGAGGTGTTGATTGTATATATATATATATATATATATATATATATATATATATATATATATATATATATATATATATATATATATAAATTACAGTGGAATTGAAAGACATAAGTATAATGGGGGAGCAGTACAACATGGGTTGTACAGTAATAAAGTTGAACTGTAATACTGTATGGTCTGGTGTGCGAGTTGCTGGTCTATACTCGTCAGGGAACTGTTAGAGGGGAGGTGCTGGTCTATACTCATCAGGGAACTGTAGAGGGGTGGTGCTGGTCTATACTCACCAGGGAAGTATGGAGGAGGTGCATGAAGATAGGGACCAAAGGAGTGGGGAGACCCGGCCACGCCTGAGTGGCTGGTGGAATAAAAGACATTGCGGGAGGTCTAACTGGGGAGGCGCCCTGACAGGTGGACAGTACCCGCCAGGTGCTCTCAGTGCGCTGCCACCGTGTGAGCTGGTAGTCATGCAGAGAGATTATTCACGTATTTTAAGTGAACTTTATATGGTTACGATGAACCAGGCGGAAACATACACGTCAGAGAGGTTAAAAGGGACGGGTTTATAATAAAGAGACCAGGTCAGTGGGAAGGGTTAGGGGGAGGTAAAGGGGAAGGTGTGCGTTAATTAAAGTGCACGGTCACCTCCGTGCACTGCACCACCTAGCAGCCTTGTGTACCACCACTGGCGACCATTATTTGCTCTGATGTTAATGGCGCTATAAATTTAAGAGTTGTATAAGCAGTCTGATGGTATAGTTAGTTATGGGGGTTTGTGAAACAGTGCGTTGTTGTGAGGGTGTACGCTGCTGGGGAACAACACGCCTCCTGCAGCAGTGAAAGAAAGGAGTGGTGGCCAGGCCGCCATCCTCGTTATAGTTATTTAACAGGTCTTCATTTATCACAGTCGTAATGTTACAGTATCATCAGTATATGTCTGTAACTCAACATGAGACAATTTATAGTGATCATATGAGGTCAGGTCATGAGCCTCCACCACACTAGAGCCTCAAATTAAGAGAGTATAAGTAATACATCTTAGATGGTGGGCAGAATCCTGTACACACACACACACACACACACACACACACACACCAGCTTTATAAGGTAGGCTGACGTATGACAATTGACGACACACTAAAAGATGTCACGATACTTGATGGTTGTTCATCACAGCACATTATCTGATGTATCTGTGTCACGAGTACTGCCTGTGGCTGTGTGTACCTTCTGTAGCCCAGTGTTCACCTTCACTGTGTGTACCTTCTGTAGCCCAGTGTTCACCCTCACTGTGTGTACCTTCTGTAGCCCAGTGTTCACCTTCTGTAGCCCAGTGTTCACCCTCACTGTGTGTTCTGTAGCCCAGTGTTCTGTCAGTGTTCACCCTCACTTCTGTACCAGTGTTCACCCTCACTGTGTGTACCTTCTGTAGCCCAGTGTTCACCCTCACTGTGTGTACCTTCTGTAGCTCAGTGTTCACCTCTGTGTGTACCTTCTGTAGTGTTCACCCTCAGTGTTCTGTACCAGTGTTTCACTGTGTGTACCTTCTGTAGCCCAGTGTTCACCTTCACTGTGTGTACCTTCTGTAGCCCAGTGTTCACCTTCACTGTGTGTACCTTCTGTAGCCCAGTGTTCACCCTCACTGTGTGTACCTTCTGTAGCCCAGTGTTCACCTTCACTGTGTGTACCTTCTGTAGCCCAGTGTTCACCTTCACTGTGTGTACCTTCTGTAGCCCAGTGTTCACCTTCACTGTGTGTACCTTCTGTAGCCCAGTGTTCACCTTCACTGTGTGTACCTTCTGTAGCCCAGTGTTCACCTTCACTGTGTGTACCTTCTGTAGCCCAGTGTTCACCTTCACTGTGTGTACCTTCTGTAGTGTTCACCCTCACTGTGTGTACCTCTGTAGCCCAGTGTTCACCCTCCTCACTGTGTACCTTCTGTAGCCCAGTGTTCACCCTCACTGTGTGTACCTTCTGTAGCCCAGTGTTCACCCTCACTGTGTGTACCTTCTGTAGCCCAGTGTTCACCCTCACTGTGTGTACCTTCTGTAGCCCAGTGTTCACCTTCACTCCTCTATCTCTATTTTCTTAACCTTCCAAATATTTAGTCCGGGTTATATACAAGATATGCTATAAAGAAATGTATGAACATCTCTTGAACAGCAGTATGAGCCTGGCCATGATACCCGGTGTTGGTTCTTAACTAATCGACAGTGTACTGAACATTCCACCACTGAGGGCATCATCTTTATTTACTTTTCATTAATCTCACTGCTACATCACTCAGGGTTGAGTTTACTTACTGTGTCGTGTCACTCACTAGGTAGCTATAAATGTTTCCACTTGGGTCGGAGATCACGCCTTGTGTTTATTTTGTGTGGCAGTTAGCGAGCAGTAAGTACAGCCTCACTAGACGCTCCCAGTACGTTAGGTTCTGGTGTAAATAATCATTGTTGTACTGTCGTGCTTAATAGGAAGGAAAATACTGCTTTAGTGTTATGAAATATTAATAATATAATATAGGTGAATTATTCTTTAGAAAAATGTTAGGAGTGGGGACCGTGGTCGCCAGCCTTCTCATACGAGGATGGCACCATGGTTAATTGATATTCATATATTGTTTAAGACACCACTCTTAAATGAACACACCATAATAAGTCAGTAGCGCACGACCAAAGCCACAGGCTGCAGCATCTTATTATGATCGTGTTCTAGTACTCGTAGATAAGCCAGAGGTATTTAAGCACCGTCGATCATATCCCAGTGATACAATCATTAGCTAGGAGCGCTGTACTAGTGTTCAGACATGAAGCCTGTCATGGTTGTACACGAGGGCAGCGCTGCCAGCCGCTGATTGTATCTCTGGTAGTCACCCAGGCGTATGATAGACGGGAGCTAAACACTCCCAGCTGACCAGTCGGGACTAATGCGTTATGGAGATCGCTACTACACCTGTACCTGTACTATTGTGCCAGGGTAAAGGGTTTTGAATTGGAATACTCTGAGATGTAAGAACAGAATACTTCTACGTTAGATAATGTTATCCCAGTGTTGGCGGGAGGTTCAGACGGTGTTGGTAGGGGGTTCAGGAGGTGGTGTTGTGGTATTAGGGAGAATTAGAGATGTGTGGAGAGTCAATAAAGACAGGTTACGCCCCACACAAACACACACAGTCATGGTGATGTTCCTGGCCAGGGTCACCACACACACAGTCATGGCGGTGCTTCTGGCCAGGGTCACCACACGCATACCTCACAACAGCTCGCATCACCATTAACACTGGTCGTAAATCCTCATTAAATTGCCCGGTACTCGTGTCAGGGGTCGAGTTGTCTTTGTGTCTGCCCCAGGTCTGGAAGCTCCTCCGATAGCTTTAGTATGTTTATCTTCAAATGAAATAAGTTTGGGGTGTCTAATCTTCATATGATCCGATATTTTTGCTCCTGCACACTTACCATATATTGCGTCCTGTGTCCAGAAGAGTGTTCACAGTTAGGTGGAGAAGAAACAGGTGAGGCAGGGTCGGTAAGGCTCATGGGTGGAGGGCCCTCTTTCGCCTTGGGAACTGTCAGCTGTGTGGCAAAAGCACTTCACAAGGTCTTTGTCTCCCCGCACTTCCTAGTTAAGCTGTTGCTTGTTTATGATAGTATTATGTTGATCGTCACAATGTGATACATTTTGTTACCCGTCGGTGTTGTTGTACGATGACATGTCTAGTTTTTAATGTGCTGTGTATTTATTTAAGAACAGGAATTGTATCGTTTATACCTGGGCCAAAATGCGTCGAGGATGGTGACGTGTCGATTATCAATGTTTACGTCTTAACTGTTGATCGCATTATAGTGTTACCTTCAATCTTTAAGGTATAAGTCCCGGGGTCTGACCAGCAAGACATGTGTTATATTATTTGGCATCGCTTACCGGCTTAAGTTACAAGTCACTCGGTGTGTAAAAAATATCTAATTTCGAGAACTAAACTTTGTAGTGACTTGCTGTTCATCCTTTCATTCCTCACGAAGGAATAGTTTCCGCTTATCGAACACTTTTTGGTCTCGCCTCTAAACCTTAATATTCGATTTGTAGCTGATGTTCCTCGACACTTAGGGTTTGGGTCAAGATCTGTCGACTGATGACCAAGAACTCACAGATCGCCCCGCTGGCTGTGAGCAATTGTTTTAACGGTGACGGGGATCACTATTTTGGCTTTGTTAGTAGGTTAGGTTAGGCTAGGTTAAGTTAAGTGAGGTGGTTTTCTGCTGTGAGATTTTTATTCTTCCTAGATTCGTTTTAACACTTGTAAGTTAGATTCCGTCTCCCAGTGAAGGCTCCTGGAGGCGGGGATCCTGAAGCAGTTGTTAAGCGCAGTATTAGGTTCTGTTTCTTTTAGTTGGTAATCATACATATATTGTTTTTGTGATATTGTATGAGGTTAATATTTTTGTTGTTTATTTCACCAGAATTGTGTTTATTTATATTTTGTAAACGATTGTTTCACATGTTAATTGTATCCTTCATGAAGCCAATAATTAAATATAAGTACCCTATAGTTTTACTTGTTGGATAATAATGTTGTAATTTAGTGTGTTCAGCAGGGAGGCAAGGCATAATTAGCAGTTTACAGCTTGTCATTATCAGACACCCCTGTGTAGTGTCCAGTATATTTTATATTTAATGAAGTTGAAATAATTTATAGATAAGCGGCAGATAATTATTCGTATTAAACACTAAGAGTGAATTAAGCAGTCGAGAATTATTTATTGATAGAAATTTTAGTTTGTTGCTTCACGGAGCTAATAACATTGAGGATTATATAAGTACTTATTAAGGCAGCAAGCATGACGTGTTTATCGCTTGTGTGTGTGGAGGGGGGGGGGTGTCAGTTTCACGGGGTGTTCCTTATAAATGAAGACACTGGACGTGGTAATAAGTATACCTTTGTTGAGGTGTTGGTTGCTAGGGGGATGGACCTCCCGGGATGGCATACCAACTGCTGGCGGGGTGAGGGGGTGATGGGCCTCCCCTCACTACCTGTGCCGGCGTCGAGTTGACCATCACCAGGAAATATGTACAGTTTACAACACGGAGATTTAATTATGGAGACAGCCAAAGAGTAAGGTATTCGGTAACATGCCCTCGGTGTGGAGACTGTTGTATTAAGTGCTGGGGTTAAGGTGCCTGGCTGGCCAACACGAGAGTACCGCTGTCTACTTCCAGCTGTGTGTGTCCTGCCGTTAATTAATAGCTTGTAGTGATGAGATGAATGACCACGTTGTCCGTCACTCTAGGACGTTCAGAAATAAAGTACAGCATAGTTCTCTCCCCCTGGCTCTGGTCCTCGCCTGGCAGAGGTTCATTATGTTGTCCCTCTGTGTCGGCTGTGTAGTATGGTTGTAACTTCGTCGTATTGTTGTTTTATCTTTCATCACAATTCAACGTTTATATGTCATTGCTTTTTACACAGATGATTAGTTTTCGGAGATACGCTTGATTTTTTTCTTGGTTAGCCTCGTTATGTTGTGATTAATACCGGGTAGGCTGTCATTATTGTTGGCACGATGGTGAGTCAAGTGACTATTACGTCGCGTCCCCGGGTAGGCTGTCATTATTGTTGGCACGATGGTGAGTCAAGTGACTATTACGTCGCGTCCCCGTCCACGTTGTCGCACTGGCAGCTGTGGTGTCACCTGTTAGGTTACAAAGATAATTTAGTTTTAAATAGACCTGGAGATAAGAGTTGAGATAGAAGATTGGATGAAGCTTAACACTTGATGGAGATGTAAGAAGAAGGTTCAGGTATCTCACCAACCTGTCCCTGCGGTAACTGGTCCCTCTTCCTGCTGCCTGGACGGTTCAGAAATGTGTGCGGCTATCGGCCTACACTGGTGGACACAGGAAGATATTTATGAGGCCTATTGTACAGTCGAGGACAAAAGTTCGCTCCCCGTGGTTAAACTGAGTCACAGGTAGGAGTCTCCGAACTGACTTACCTGACTATTTCATCTCATTTGGGGTCGATGCCGTTTCATTTTGGGCGGGAGCGAACTTTTGACCTCGACTGTACCCGGTCTTATGGGTCAGGGGAGAGAGGGGTGTTCAGACCAGGACAGGGATCTACTGGATACACCTGAAGTAAAAAGGTCTCACTTTAAGGTGGAAGCTCGAGGTGTTCTGGAGGGTTCCGGAAGTTGTCCTTAAGTCTTCGTAGGAATCAACCATAAAAATGGACTAAAACAGGAAGCTAGAAGGGCAAAATTTTCATTGAAGTTGAAAATTGGTTTATACTCTCGACACGTAAACTTGAGGGGTAGTAACTGTCGGGCTCTACCTTCACGTGTTGTTTGTGTGTCTTGGTGTAAGTAAATGAAATTGTCCGTATTTAAGGTATTTTAAGCCCAGTGATTAAAAATAACTTGAATGAAAGCTTTGTTGGTGTGTTATGTGGTCAGGAGGCGAGTTGGTTGTAGTCCAAGCTTTAGATTTAAATATTGTAATAACGATATTAAACTACAATATACGAATAGTAATATGAGGATTATATACAATAACGATATGCAAGAGACAAATATATATTTTATATAGTAATAGGATAATGTTTTATCAACTAATTTACCATCACATCTCCTGTTCTGTGTCTCGTTACAAGAAATATTGTCATTGTGTGAATCGAAATCTCGTAGTAACATCAAAACCCCCACCCTCCCCCACCACTTATCTTGAGTGTCGGGAAAAAAGTACCAGGGGAAAAAAGTGGCTTAATTCCTCTCTTTATTCTAGCCAAAATTGTGACTTTTTTCCTGAGACTTTATTTCCATTCACTTGTATCGCACCTTCAAGATGGAATCACATTCTAATGCAATATATTTCATCTTTGTGTGATGGTTGAGGTAGTGAAGATACAGGGTGTTAGAGTCCTTGGTGTGAGGGTGAAGCGTAGTGCAGGGGATCACTGTCCACGCTGCACCGGGGACACTCACTAATAGGTCCTGTATTTATACCCACTGATGCCCGGCCCCTCTCCAGTCGTTGCCAGACCTCAGCTTCCTCTTCTTTTTCCATCTTCTCCTTATCTTTTAATAAAATACTCGTTATTATTTCATTTACAAACACCATTAATATTTTTTAAGAGTATTTGTTCGTTTTATTTTGTCTTATTCGTGTTGGTGAAGAGTTTGTGTGTCTCTTGAGGTTGTGACTCCATGTGTGGCGGCCGTGACTTACACCAGGTACGTGTGTCACTGTATGTGTACCTGTCCAGGGGGTGTTGTTGTGTCTCCCTCACGTGTGTCACTCACTGATGTGTGGTTGGGGGGGGGGGGTAGGGTAGAAGAGTGTCTGGGGAGATATTCACAGCTTCATTTTACACACTGTTAGTTGGTACAGCATCTTCACTCTTCATCTCCCTCACCCCATCTCCCCATGCCTCCACTACCTCCCTAGTGACGCACCAACTTTCTCCTCCAGCCTTCTTAACTCATCAATATTTAGCCACATCAGATAAGTCTTTTGAATACCAAGCCTGACTGACTAACTGACTCACTCACTCACCCACTTAAGAGAACTTTTTGTCATGCCCTCGGAGACCATCTCGTCATGTCACAGCTTATGACCAACTCTCAGTTACTTATCTCTGACTGTCTCTAATTAATATGTTTTCCCTGTCTACCAGTCATTTCCTACTATGATGCACAGTAACCAAGCAGATGTTGGTCCATCACCGATAGTTTACACATTTTCTTAACGACCAAGTGAAGAATTGTATGTGTAAATAGATAAGATGATTGAATGAAATGCTTAATTCTTTTCTGTTTGAATGATGTTTGATTAGGTATTTCAAAGGTTATGAATGTTTGTGATGGAGGGCGTGGTGTCGTAACGTGGGCGAAGGCGTGGTAGTGTGGTGTGTGAGGGAGGGCGTGGTGTCGTAACGTGGGCGAAGGCGTGGTAGTGTGGTGTGTGAGGGAGGGCGGGGTGTCGTAACGTGGGCGAAGGTGTGGTAGTGTGAGGGAGGGCGTGGTGTCGTAACGTGGGCGAAGGCGTGGTATTGTGGTGCGTGGGAGGGAAGGAGGACGTGGTGTTAATGACGTAAGGCAGGGCGAGATGTTACCCAATACAGGTATATTATCTCAGCTGTGCCACACCACCAGCACCACCACCCAGCACCCCACACCTAACACCCACCCAGCACCACCAGCACCACACCTAACACCCACCAGCACCACCAGCACCACCACCCAGCACCACCACCCAGCACCACCAGCACCACACCTAACACCCACCCAGCACCACCAGCACCACACCTAACACCCATCCCAACACATCTCCTCATTCATCGACTCACACCTTAAATATTTACCAAGATAAATGCATTAAATGTTGAAAATATAAAAGTTACAAAAACAAAACTAGCGTGTGACAATAAACTAGGGAACGTCGCTATGTAAGGTCCTTCAAGGTAGTTCGACTGTTATCACCTCATAAATAACGTGTAATTACTGTTATCCGGCCCACCTACCAACACCCTCCTTGCTTTTTCTCCTCCTTGGCACTTTTTACACTGTCGCTAATGACTCTCTAACACGCCACGGTGAACTGCCTGCTGAGCTCTATCTCCTTGGTTGAGTGTTTCCCTCCCTCCCTCTTCATCTTCTCACCTCAGTCCTCCTCCCGTATGCCATCAGGTTTTGGCACACACACACACACACACCTCTCTCTCTCTCTCTCTCTCTCTCTCTCTCTCCTCCTCTTCTCTCTCTCTCTCTCTCTCTCTCTCTCTCTCTCTCTCTCTCTCTCTCTCTCTCTCTCTCTCTCTCTCTCTCTCTCTCTCTCTCTCTCTCTCTCTCTCTCTCTCTCTCTCTCTCTCTCTCTCTCTCTCTCTCATATACATAATAATTCACACAGACAAAGTATAAAATAAATAATGGGAAGAACTCGCAATAATAATTAACAAACAGTAATGAGAGAGAGTTGTGGCCCTCTCCAACTTTTACTTGCGTCAGTATGCAAATTGGGCCATTTATCACTGTCTGCATGATGCTCGTCCCTAAGTGTTTGACATTGTTTACCAGGTGTTTCCTTGTGATTTATTGTTTGCTTTTTAACAGGTATTTCCATGTTAATTTTGTTTTGTTTGTCATTGTTTACCAGGTATATCCTCGTTAATTATTGTTTGCTTTTTTAACAGGTGTTTCCATGTTACTTTTGTTGTATTTAACAGGTATATCCTCGTTAATTAATATTTTGTCTTTCTTTGCAGGTGAGTCTTGGCAGTAGTGTGTTTTGTGTATACAGCGACAACGCAGCTGCTTGGCAACATGTGACAGTAGGTGGATACGTAAACAATGTGGAGAGAGAGAGAGAGAGAGAGAGAGAGAGAGAGAGAGAGAGAGAGATTAGAATATGTTTCCTGTACTCCCATGGTGCAGTACGGAAGCGATTATAACTAGGTAAACACTGTAACAATCACTTTTTTTTTAACACTATTGGTGACACTTATGTAAAGAGACAAACATTTAGTAAAACGTTTATGGGACACCTGGGTTATAGTTGTATCAGATATGGCTAACGTGTGACTTAATACGACGCATTCTCTGGTATGTTACTGTGGTACGGGGTAGGTAGAGTCTATCCTGCATCTATCGCACTAACAACAATGATGATAATGATACCACTACTACTAATAACAACAATGATGATAATGATACCACTACTACTAATAACAACAATGATGATAATGATACCACTACTACTAATAATAATGTTAGTGTTGATGATGATGATGATAAAACTTAGTATGTGTGTTTCCAGCATTGCTCGTGTAAGAAGAATAGGTCAAAGTGTTCGGGACAGCCTCTAAATCTGCTACATTTTCTAGGGGGATTAAAATGTGGTCGTTCAAGGCCATGACCCCGCGTGCGTTGGGTCTTACTTCGAGTGTAGTGTGAGAGTTGATAACGTAATAGTCTTTTATAAGTGAGAGTAACACACTGGTGGTACTGTTGCCTCCCTCCCTCCCTCCCTCCAATACATGATGGACACCGTTGTCAGAGAGGCCGTGGTGGGGTAGGGAGAAGGAGGAAGGTTAATCTATTCGTGCAAATTGCCTTGTGTGTTAACTACTTTACCCTGTCATGGAATCTTCAGTATTAATGTCATCCACAAACTTGGGACTTACCGACACATATATTAATGGGTCGGAAGGCTACGAAAAATGTTAATAACATATAATTATTTAAATGAAGGTCAACCATTTTTTATTTTCCAGGTAGTCCTTCGCAGTTAGGGATGAATGTGATATAATGTAGCGTATCTAACCGGGCAGAATATGTGATAACAAGGAGGAGGACGTAATGGCGGCATCTTATAATCTGCGTGAAATAGGGAATGTTTTCACGGTATAATCACCAGGGAGAGCGGGGGGAGGGGAGGGGAGGCGGCATCACTCAATGAGAGAGGAGCTGGTCAGGAGGCGGCCAGCAGAGAGGCGTTAGGTCACGTTGTAATCTAAGGGCCAAGCGCGCCTAGCTCCTCCTGTGTACCCTCCCTCTCACCTCACCTCACCTTCCTCCCTCACTACAAGGTTGTTACTTACGACACATACTCTCTCCCATCCTCCTCTTTTCCCCCTCTCCATTCTTTCCCCTCTTCCCCCTCTCCTATCGCCCCCCCTCCTTCTCCTCCCTCTCTACCTCCCCCTCTCTCTCTCTCTCCTTCTTCCCCCTGCCTCCTCCTCCTCTCCCTTCTTCCCCCTGCCTCCTCCTCCTCCTCTCCTTCTTCCCCCTCCTCCTCTTCCTCTCCCTTCTTCCCTTTCTCTTCCCTTTCTCACTTCTTCCCCTCCGCCCTAAGAAATACAACCAAAAATCCGATGGAGTAGCGTAATCGTGTGTGTGTGTGTGTGTGTGTGTGTGTGTGTGTGTGTGTGTGTGATCAGTAGTGCCACAGGTTCTCGCTGTTTTGGCTGGGGGGTGGGTGGGTGCCATAAGGCCACAGGTAACATCATTGATCTTGCCTTAAACGTATCACCTCTCTTGTGGCGCCCCTACACTAACCATGTCAAGAGTGTGCTATCGTTGTCCTGGGTGTGTTGATATTGATACAGTTTATTTAGCCAGAAAAACACAGATACAGAGTGGATAATAATAACAATATTAACATGGCTGAGCCAGTTGAGAGTCTGAGCTCTCTTGAAAGCATCTGATTATATACTGTACATTTATCTCAAGGAGGTGTTATGTAACATTTAGTATCATCTGGAATAGTACACTTAACATGGTGGTAGTAAGAACATATCAGTATATAAATATTATAAGGAGGGAAGCAATACAACATGGGTTGTATAAGGTGGAACAAGAGGAAGGAGCTGTCAGTATCATGTCTAGTCGGCAACTATGATTATTGCAGTGGTATTTTCTATCTGTCTACATAACAATTATGATAACGGTTTTGGTGGTACAATAAAAGCAGGAATATAAAGTAGGTATTACAAAAATATTATTATTTGGACAATAGATATTTTTTAAGAGATGATTTAAAGGAAGGGAGCGTAGTCTTTGCTGGGATGGGTGGGGGTAAGTTGTTCCACACCTTCACACCTTGATATTTTATGGGGGTCTGGGACTGAGGTCTTAGTAGCTCTGGGTTTCTAAAGTTGTATCTCTGATTATTCCGGAACTGGGGATAATTATAGTCAATCAAGTGCTTGACAGATTTGTAAACAAATAGGGCAAAGCAGTAGATGTTAATTTCCTCGAATTTTAACATTTTCAGTTTAGCAAACTGTTCGTCAGTGTGATATATTTTTTTTTCAAGTAGGTCATTTTCTGCACAACCCTCTTCTGTGCAGTAATCAGAAGTTGTGTTTTTGAAGCGCCAGAGGCCCCCCCCCATAGTGTGTGACATGGTATCAGGTGTTGGTAAACAAGATCATGATAGATTTCTTTCATTGCTGCAAGAGTGAGTGACTGACGAGTGTGATACAGGATACCGCACTGTTTATTGACTTTGCTGTGAATGGCTTGTGTGTGGTTTCTCAAGCTAAGTTTCTCATCAACAATAACTCCGAGGAAATTAGTATTTTTTTCACGCTTGATGAGTGTATTACCAAGGTACAGGGGGTTCAAATCTGGGGGTAGGTTTTCCTTCTGTGAAATATTGTGTTGTGGGTTTTTTCGAGGTTTAAGGTCAGTTTATTACATATTACCCAGGTCCTGACTTTAGTCAATTCATTGTTCATCGTTCTCATCAAGGAATGGAGATCTGAATTGAGTTGCTGGCATCGAGATTACTACCGTTTGCAAATAAGTTGTATTTTATGAATGTGCTGGCGTGGACTATGTCGTTTAGGTACAATAAGAACAGTGCAGGACCAAGAATGGAGCCTTGAGGGATGCCATGCAAAATTGGTGAGAAGGCAGTTTGATGATTCTTATAGGAGACATACTGCTTCGTGTTAGATATGAGGTAAACCAATTTTGGGATAAGCCCTTAACGCCGTAATGTTCAAGCTCTGAAAGAAGGTTGTTATGGTCGACAATATCAAAGGCTTTAGAGAGGTGCAGGAATATACCGACTGTGAACTGACTTTCATCAAAGGAGTTTAAGATGTCATTAGTAAGGGATAGCAGAGCACTCTCAGTTGACCTTCTAGCTCTAAATTCAAACTGAGAGTCTGTAAGGATGTTATTGACACTGTAGAAGGCATTTAGTCTACTACATGCTAGCTTCTCCAGTATCTTACTGGGCAAGTTTCTTTACGCCATTTGCCTCTGTCTCCCCAGCAGTAATTGGGAACCTGGATGTTAATTGATTTGCGGATCATGTTCCGGGGTAATGGTTAGTCAGCGCAGTTGGCAAGTTGTCCGGTCTTCTCGGGCTATTCCTTGACACTGGGTCATGCAACTCGTTAACTCAGGATGTGGTTGTTGTGTTGGCGACAGCTTCTACACCTTAAACAAATTCACGCCTAGGTGGCCCTAGGGCCGGCCATCCTCATTACACAAGGGCAACCATTATTATTAGTGTCCTGGGTGTGTTGGTGTTGTCCTGGGTGTGTTAGTGTTGTCCTGTGTGTGTTAGTGTTGTCCTGGGTGTGTTAGTGTTGTCCTGGGTGTGTTAGTGTTGTCCTGGGTGTGTTAGTGTTGTCCTGGGTGTGTTAGTGTTGTCCTGAGTGTGTTAGTGTTGTCCCGAGTGTGTTAGTGTTGTCCCGGGTGTGTTAGTGTTGTTCTGGTTGTTCTGGGTGTGTTAGTGTTGTCCTGAGTGTGTTAGTGTTGTCCGGTGTGTTAGTGTTGTCCCGAGTGTGTTAGTGTTGTCCCGGTGTGTTAGTGTTGTTCTGGTTGTTCTGGGTGTGTTAGTGTTGTCCTGAGTGTGTTAGTGTTGTCCTGGTGTGTGTTAGTGTTGTCCTGTGTGTGTTAGTGTTGTCCTGGGTGTGTTAGTGTTGTCCTGGGTGTGTTTGTCCTGGGTGTGTTGGTGTTGTCCTGGGTGTGTTAGTGTTGTCCTGTGTGTGTTAGTGTTGTCCTGGGTGTGTTAGTGTTGTCCTGGGTGTGTTAGTGTTGTCCTGGGTGTGTTAGTGTTGTCCTGGGTGTGTTAGTGTTGTCCTGTGTGTTAGTGTTGTGTGTGTTGGTGTTGTCCTGGGTGTGTTAGTGTTGTCCTGTGTGTGTTAGTGTTGTCCTGGGTGTGTTAGTGTTGTCCTGGGTGTGTTAGTGTTGTCCTGGGTGTGTTAGTGTTGTCCTGGGTGTGTTAGTGTTGTCCTGAGTGTGTTAGTGTTGTCCCGAGTGTGTTAGTGTTCTCCTGAGTGTAATTATATTGTCTTTGTTACCCTTAAGATGTCCTGGGTGTGGCGAGGTTATTCTATATATTACACAGAATGTCTTTAGTCTTCAAGTTGTCTTTGAAATGATTATATAAATTATTTACTTGAATATACTGTATGTCATATAGGCATACTGGGTGTAGTCATCCTAACAATAAGGTGTAGTCATCCTAGCAACCAGGTATAGTCATCCTACCAACCAGGTGTAGTCACCCTAGTAACCAGGTATAAATTCCTATATATTTTCGACCTCCTCCCGACACCCGCCGAACCAATCGATGAAATGGCAGCGTTTCTGGTTTGATTTACACTAAAATACATGAATACTTTTTTTTAATCTTGTATGATCGTCATCTCGTGTTTGTTTAAGGAAATTTGTTCTGTCACTTGGAAAAAGGACAGGAGTGGCCCAATTAATATTCAGTTTACTAGGGAACTCTTTATTTATTATTATTATTAATCTGTTGTAGGTGCGACAACCTGGCTGACTCTGATTTTCTTGAATGGTGATTTGT